TTGGCTATCATGTCCCACTCATTCTTCCAGGCCTCTTCTGAGAAATCCTCCCTAATCCCTAGTCCATACTGTCAAGGTATTATTTGTACAGGAAAATGCTCATCTTTACTAAAGAACAAAATTCTTGGGGACATGGACTAAGTCTAGTTCATTCTTTTATTCTGAGTTCTTGGCACTATGCTATGCATTTAGTAAATGCTGAATATACATTTGATAGATGTATAAACGTATGAAGCTTTTTGTTATAGCTATTGTGTATATGTCTTTTCTCTTACTTGAAAATATTCACTGTCTCTGGTTTTTCTCTCCCCCTCGTTGTACTTTGAACACTTTTGTGTGTGTGTGTGTGCTCATTGTCAGCTTTTGGAAATATTTAATCGGTTGAATTAGAATCTGAAGGTATTTTGCAAGAAGGTGTTTTATTTCAAGCATGTACCTGATGTCACATGAGGTGATGATACTACCATGAAAAAACGATGCTGCTTCTGCAGTGTAATTTTCAATGGATTAGAAAGGTTTAACATTGATATTTCTCCTATGATTAAAAAAATACTATTTCTTAGTTATTGTGAAGGTAAGCATCTGCCTAGTCCATTCCTGAACGGTGACAGATTCTAGAATAGTGGGATTTACTTTAATGAAGTTCTGTGGAATTCAAGAGACTCAAGCAATGTGTAGTTAATTTTGCTCATCAGAAAAATATTTTTTTAAATGCCATCAATTTGTATAAAACTTCAGAAACACCCAAACTGTTACCTTTTCATATCCTGAGTTTGAAAACTTATTTTGGTTTCACCAAGTAAAATATTCTCTAATAAGAGCATGCTATTAAGTTAGTGTGCATGCCATATTGTTCACTCAGTATGTTTTACTCGATATTTCTAATCAGGATACACAAGTTTTTATTCCTATTTTTAGATATTTTAACTTTTAAAAAAAGTAGCTAAGCCTTTAAATTTGGCAGAAAGTTTCTATTTTAAAAACAATTAAATAGCCCTGGCCAGTATGTCTCAGTTGGTTGAGCATCCTCCTGTGTACCAAATGGTTATAGGTTCAATTCCTGGTCAGGGCACATACCCATAGTGTAGGTTTGGTCCTCGTTGGAGTGTAACCAGTTTATCTCTCACATTGATGTTTTTCTCTCCCTCTTTCTTCATCTCTCTCTTAAAAATAAATAAAAACATATTTTTAAAAATCTATACTAATAAAAGGATAATATGCTAATTAGACCGGGTCAACTGGACATCTTATGGATGTCCGACTTCCTTCCGGACAAAGCCATGGTGGCAGGGGCTGAGGCAGAGGTGGTTAGGGGCGATCAGGCCGGCAGGGGAGCAAGCAGTTAGGGGCGAGATCAGGCCAGTGTGAGGGAGCGAGCAGTTAGGGGGTGATCAGGCTGGCAGGGGAGGACAGTTGGGGGCAATCAAGCCAGCAGGGGAGTGGTTAGGAGGCGATCAGGCTGGCAGGCAGGTGAGTGGTTAGGAGCCAGCAGTTCCAGATTGTGAGAGGGATGTTCAACTGCTGGTTTAGGCCCGATCCTGCAGGCCTAACATCCTCCGCAGTTGGACATCCCCCGAGGGGTCCCAGATTGGAGAGGGTGCAGGCCAGGCTGAGGGACACCCCTCCCCCCTGCATGAATTTCATGCCCCGGGCCTCTAGTGAATAAATAAAAACAATCAAACAAACAAAAAACCCCACCACTAATTAGGTGGTTGCTATGCAATGTTTTTATTTTATTCCTGTTTATTTTATTCCAGTGTTTTAATTTTTAAAATGTTTTAAAGCTTGTCAACTACTTAGCTTTAGTAATCATTTATTTAGCCAATTGGTTGAGTCTAAAACAACGCATTTCTGTTTCTTTCCATTTGGAAAGTGTATAATTTTAGTGCACTTTTATTTCAAAGTCTGAGATAGCAAAGTTAAGAAGCAGATGACAATGATTTTCTAGTAATTTGATGTGTCAGGGTACATAAGCTTCCTGAACCTTAGGTTTATCAACCAGTAAATGGATAAAATAACTCTTACTGTGCAAGCTCACCATCAATAACAAATATGAGAGGTTATTCCTAGTTTCTGGCCTAAGCTACTCTTAATACAACCAATAATTTTGAGTCTACAAGTAGTAAAGTCCAACACCACCTCCAAAAATAACTAACTTATCTCAGCATAATTTAAAAATGACTAGGCTTTTATTTATTTTTAATAGCAACATAATAATTGTTCCTTAATTTTCTCATTGGGTACTTTCAAGGGGGAGAGTTGGGAAGGGAGCAAGAGAGAATATATAGAGAGAAATGAGCCAATTTTATAGGGCCTGTCCCTGAGTTGGAATTCTTCACCTCACCATGGCTTGTTCAGATAAGAGTAGGAAGACATTCTTTCCACAGGGGTCATCAATCCCTAAAAATACACAGAACTTTCACTGTGTCAGTGCAATGACTGAACATAAAAATAAATTCCTTGTTTTTAATAAGACTTATTAGAGAATATCAGTATTATCATCACCATCTTCTTCATCACTCTTACTATTGATCTTACTAATAGTAGCTAATATTAATTGAAATCTTATCTTGAGAGTGCGCCAAATATTCCAGGTGCTGGCTAAGCATTTCTTTTTTGGCATTATCTCATCTAATCCATTTAGCCCACACTCTTTATTATTTATTTTCAACCCATTGATGAGAATGGCAGAGGGGTTAAGTGACTTGCCCAGGGCCTCATAGTAAGTGACAGACCTGGGATTGATTCCCATATCTGTTTGAATAAAGGTCCTGTGCTCATGTAGCCTTTGAATTATAATAGTTCAGCAGCCAGTTCCCCATCCCTATGCCATTTATAGAATGATCAGCAGCACTGGTTTGGTTAAGGGTTCAGATACTTTGACATGTAGTTGGAGTTAGGAGGCAGCGGGGTGGCAGTTCAACCCAAGGCTAGATTAACATTAGAAATAAAACCAACCAACAAACAAAACATACTGGGTAAGTGACTTTTTTAGAATTGTTAGTTCCAGTTCATGGAGTAAACAATGTTCCTAGGTTGTAAAAAAAAAGAACATTCTAGAAATAGGTTTATTAAAATTAGTTGATACTTTGCAGTATTTTAAATGGTTTTGCAGAGCAAGTCAGATAATGGTTCTCTCTCATTTCTTACTAAAAATGAGCATATTACAAATTGCCTAGTTTGGATAATAGAAATATTTTATATTCTGCATACATCTTATAAGAATAATTACATGTGTCACAAAAAGCAATTTTAAGGAGTTCTGTGTTGAAGAATTTTGTTTGACTTCTTTTAAGTAAACTGAAGAAGAATGAAAAAAAAACACCTCTTAAAGTACTTCGGTCACACCTTTATTTTTTTGTAACTTAAATTTGTGTAAGAATAATAATACATAAAAGAAAAAGTCTTTAAAAACACATTTGATTAACATTTCTTTTATAATACAAGTACTGACTATAATGATAAATTACACATACCTATATATCCACATTTTAATTTTTCAATAGCAGAAACATTCCTAACAATTTATCTCTTGAGTATAATTACTGAAGTTGTTTTTGGAGCCATATAGTTTATTTAGTTTCTGAATATGGAATTTCAGACTGCTTCAAACATCAATGGCTGACAGGCCTTGGGAAGAAGGAGTTTGCAGAAGTGCCAACTAGATGTTATTATAAGATACACATTCCCAGGAGCAGCAGCATTAGCAAACAGGCAGGAATAGACTAATGCACGTTATGTTCCAGCATTATCGCTCAGCTGCCAACGCTGATCACAGGGAACAGGTTCTTTTGCAGAAAAGTGCTTTGAAGCATGAAGAATTCTTTGAAGAAGAACAGATGCCCAAAGGCAGTACCCATGCGCATCAACCATAGTACAAAAACAAAAACAAAAAACACCCTAAAGTATAAACCAAGATTTTTACACCGAAGAAACATAGTTATAATTTCTTGCTCTTGAGAGCCATTATTGAAATATGTAAGTTATTTTGGGTCAAGGAAAATCTGCTGATCCCTCCATATACTGACTTCTGTGAGTGCCCATCTTGAGTTCTATTCTCCAAGACAGTGGGACAGATTAAAAGTCTGATGACAAAGTCCGCTGGGTAACATACCGTCTTGGATAAGCCTTGTTTAAATTCCATTCTATGAAATATTATACCCACTAGAATATGAGCTCTATGAGGTGACAGATTTTTTAAAGCATTTTGCTCATTGCTATAGCCCCAGCACCTATGGTACTTGGCACTTAGTAGGTACAAAATAAATATTTTTAATAAATTCATAACAAAATGAATTTCTTTTTTATTCATAACAAAATGCAAGCAGAAAATACTAAAATAAAGATCATGTTAAGGCAATAGTTTGGTCTTAAAGCCATGGGCACTGAAATATGTACTGAACATCTTTCACAGAATTTTGCCCCAACCAGGGCCTTAGCCAAGCAGCAAATTATCTGACCCAGAACATTTTACTCCACACTCTATGTCACTTGCTTATATCATGAGCAATGATATAAAGTGGAAAATGTGAAAGGCCCAAATAATTTACTTTAAGAAAGAAATATAAAGCTCTCTCCTATCACAGCTCATCACTTAATAATGTAACGTCATAGGAACCAGGAACATCTCACCTCACAACTCACATGCCTGTATACTTTACCCCATCATGCCTGGGGTATTCTGGAACAAGGTATGAAACCTTGCTTACTTCAATTTTTTTATTCTCTTGTAACAACATCTGTTGGTCCTTTCACTGCTAGAATTTAAGAGACATTCTGAGGAATTTGACAAGGATCCAAGAAATATCTGCCCTTACCCAGAAACTGGGGAGAGACCTTTATCTCCTGGAGCCAGCCCAGTTCAGATGTAATCGCCTTCAGGAGCCTGACTGACTCCTTCCAAGCTCCCTTAATCATTCTCCTCTCTGATCTCATAATACCTTCCACCTCTTTTTTTCTATGCTTTTATCTTTATTGCTGAAAGTATAATAGAGGTCCCTCCTTTCCCCCCTCACTGACCCCCTCCACCTGCTCCTGCCCCCTCCCCAGGGCTTCAGCCCCTTTAAGAGAACCAAATTGAATAGAGATGATCAGTGAGTAGCCATTCCTCCCACTAAACTGTAAGCTTCCTAAGGGGTCATGTCATTTCTCCTTAGCATTTGTCACCGTGGGGAGCACAGTGCCTAGGATATAGTAGGTGCCAAGTCAATGTTTGCTGAGCTCCCTGCTCCCTATGTTCTGCAATTATCATCTTGAATGCTGTATGTGAAAGTAGAATATTGTTGCTAGAAATGTTCCTCTAATACAATTGAAAGCACTATGTAAAAACCATAATTTGATATTCTGTTTGATAGAGGATGTTATTTCTGCTTTAAGAAACTATTGTCCACAACCCCATGATGCACTAAAATTAGGATCTCTGTTCCAGGTTTCAGAAACCCAAATGGCAAGTCAAATGAGGAATTTATTATAAAGATAACATGTCTCATAGAGGCCACAGACAGGAACAGAATGAGGCTAAACTTTGGGAATACATGTACTAGGGACTCAGACTCTCAGGAAAGTTGAATCTTATATCTCTGGTCTCTCTAATCAGCTTCCTTTGCTTTTCTGATCCACATGAGGAAAAACATGACTGCCCATAGCTTTGAAATGGGAATGACTCCAATTGGCCCAACTTCATTAAGTATTCCCCTTCTACCAGCCAAATGCTGGAAGTGGGGTCAAAAATATGGGCAGGTTGTTGGGCAGACAATCCCATAGGTATGTCTACCACACTTCCAAGTTCTTAGTTTCTAAGGAAAACATCTGGTCAGAATGGACTATCTCAAATTTAATAATGGTAGTCCCTATAAAATATAAAGTTTTTCAAAGCGTAATATTCAAATGTATTTCTCTTAATAATACCTGGTACCAATAGAAAATTCCTGAGTATATATGTGTTTTCTTTGTTTTAAAAATAAATTAATTTTATTATTTGATAATATTGACAATTTATATCCAAGTTCATTTAATATATGCAAAACAATTATAAATACATTTTGAAAAGATACGAAAATCCTCATTTCTTTCTTGACATCAGACCTACCGATTTTCAAAAGACACCATAAACATCTTAGGGTCAAAACAAAATCCCCCAGTCTGAATTGTCTTGAGAGATTCCTTTGGTCAACCAATATCAGTTCAGGAAAGAAGAAACATTTACGCCTTCTTTTTTGTTTTAAATGCTCAAACAAGCATTGTTTCAAGTGTTCTCAGTATCAAAGAAGACTGAGAAAGAGAAAGGGCATGAAATGAGTCCAGAAGACTTGAAAAGAAAACATATACAACATAAATCAGCTGTATACAATCTTGTTGTAAGAATGTCTAAGTCAGGAGAAAAAAATAGAATTAGAGACATCAGTTGTTGACTTAGCTCTCATTGATATTTGAGCTAAGTCTGTATTACATAGAAGCACAGCCTCAGTCTCTCCCCAAACACGATGTGTAATAGAAAGTGATATACAGCTTCACCTTTTCTCCCAATTCCCCACTTCACTTTATGCATGGCGTCTACCCTGTGAATAAAATTTACAAAGATTCTGGAAAAGGAGCTGCTGGGATGACAGGTGCAACAGCCAAAGTGCAGCAATTTGGGGACATCCTCCATCTGTTTTTATAAAAGATCCAGCCTGTCAGTGTTGAAACTTCCATATTCTATGGAATGTTGGTTACATGTAGATTTTGCTTCTTCAGTTGCAAAGAGTCCTTATTAAATTTACTAGGGAGTTAAAGGAGCATTTGGGAAGATGGTGTCAGGTAATAGTTGTATACACGGGATTTCATTGCAACAGCATTCCACTGAGAGCAATCATAGGTACTGCTTATTAGAAGGACAAAAACGAGCATACGGTCACAACCAGCTTCTGCCTGGGCTCTGCTATGCTGCCACTGACCATTATCCTGGGGATAACTAGATCTTCCAGTGCTATTGTTGATACTTCAGTGAACTTAACTGGGGCTTAATGACTGCCAGGCACTTCCTGTCCATAGCTCTACGCATTCTACTAGCTAGGGGGCAAATCTGTTTGCTTTACTAACCTAAAGTTTATTCATGTCTCTAAGCATTTATAAAGGAGCAAAGGAACATAATAAAAGTCAATGCTGCAGAAAGCTTCTGCAGAAAAATAGCCCCAGTATCTCAGAGTCATGACAAAGCACAGTTCAGTAGAAAATGTTGGGTTATCTAGTGAGTTAGGTTGTACCAAGTGTGAGGAGCAAAAATGATGGTTCAGAGCACAAACGTTGAATGGGGTAAATCTTGGTTCCAGTTTCAGCTCCACCAATTCCTAACTCTGAAAATCTGGGTTAGATTATTTAACTTCTTTGGGTCTGTTTCCGTATATGGGAAATAAGGATTGTAATAGATATCTCAGAGATTCTTGCAAGGATTCAAGGAAATAACATATTTCAAACTCCCAGCACATGGTAAGTGTTGGATAAATGGCGGATGTATTAATGCAACATCTAGGATCTAGAGTCCTTCCTACTTCTTTTTCTTATTTAACTGGCAATCCTGGTGACAAATCCTGGATTAAGTGGAAGTATAATAATATTCCCTTCTTAACTGGGTACTTTTTCCCAATTATTAAACGATAATAAAATTTATTATTATAATAAAAACAACAGTAAACAACACAAACTGTTACAAACAAAAGTAAATAACATTATTTAAAATTCATTTTGTTAGCTGTTTTCCTGAGACACATTCTGTCTATTTTCAGTTGAGCATTTTGTAGCTTGCGACCAGCCTGGAGGTACCTTCATAGACTGTAGGAAACAAAAAAGAGCAAGCGTTTAAAAGAAAAATGTACTATGAATACCACCTCCCTTTTTTTTATATGGCCATAATTTTTGTTTTCAATTCATTAGTGTTATCCTGGTAATACGTTCAGAGAACATTGTAATTTCTTGAGAAGCATCTACTGTACCCCATTAATCTGGGAGTTTCTGGGAAAGGAGATTCTTTGTGATGCTGGGAGATCTATGGAAAGTCACTGTCTCTCTCTTGCTTAAAGTGAACAAGAAAGCACGTGTCCCTGATTGCTACTGGCATTGGAGGAAGTAATCAAGGATGAAGCCACCTCTTTATTTTATTTTTTTTAAAATATATTTTATTGATTTTTTTACAGAGAGGAAGGGAGAGGGATAGAGAGTTAGAAACATCGATGAGAGAGAAACATCGATCAGCTGCCTCCTGCACACTCCCTACTGGGGATATGCCCACAACCAAGGTACATGCCCTTGATCGGAATCAAACCTGGGACCCTTCAGTCCACAGGCCGACGCTCTATTCACTGAGCCAAACCAGTTAGGGCAAAGCCACCTCTTTAGACAGTGAGCAGAAAGAGAGAAATCATGTTTCCCTGCGTGGGAGTCTCTGGATTGTCAGTTCATGTGCGCCAAACACTCCTTCGTTTTAAACCAGCTTGGTTGTGTTTGGCACTATCACAGCCAAACCGACCTGGTGACTGTTGTTTGCCCCCTCAGAGCCCTTCTCTGCCTGCTGTGCCCTCCAGGGGGCTGACTCTAGAGATTGCATCACAAGGACTCTCTTGCCTTTCTGGTTCTTCTTGGGTTTAGCGAGTGGAAGGCTACTGCTGAAGATCTGAAGGCAGAAGGAGAGAAAGTTTGGGTGTTTTTCTCCATTTCCTGCCCCCCTCCTTGTTTAGGTTACAGCAGTGGCTATTTCCTTCCATAGCAACAGCTCCTGCCTGGTGGGCCCTCCACCTCTCAGGGCCAAGAGAACACAACTCCAGCCCTCGTGAGCATGGGAGGGGTACAGCCTCCTGCCATTGTGAGATTCTGGAGCCTCCATGTTCCTGTGAGTTTCCTCAACTCTACTCCCACCCCCCACCCCTACCCCAGTCCCTTCATCAAAATCTTTTTATTGGCTCTAGCTGGTTTGGCTCAGTGGACAGAGCATCGGCCTGTGGACTGAAGGGTCCCTAGTTTGATTCCGGTCAAGGGCACATGCCTGGGTTGTGGGCTCAATCTCCAGTAGGAGGCAGCTAATCAATGATTCTCTCTCATTATTGATGTCTCTATTTCTCTCTCCCTCTCCCTTCCTCTCTGAAATCACTAAAAATATATTTTTAAAAATCTCTTTATTGGACCATCCCAGAGGATTTGTGATTCCTACTGGGAAACTAATTGATACAACATTTAAAGAGCACAGGATGTTGTTTGGCATGTGGTAAATGCTCAATAAATGAAGTTATTAATAGAACATTACTATTGTTATTTCCTCTCAATGTGAGATGTCTCTCTACCTGTTCTTTGTGTCCAAAAATGAGGAAGAAAAAAATATAAAATAACTACACAACTATGTAAAATTAGAAAACCGCCCAGCCGGCATGGCTCAGTGGTTGAGCATCCACCTTTGAACCTGGAGACCATGGTTGAGTTTTGGTCAGGGCACATGCTCAGGTTGTGGGCTCGATCTCTAGAAGGGGACGTGCAGGAGGCAGCCGATCAATGATTCTCTCCAGTCATTGATGTTTCTATCTCTCTCCCTCTCCCTTTCTCTCTGCAATCAATAAAAATCTATTTTTAAAAATTAAAAAAACAATTGATCTGGGTACCTTAGAAAAAGTATATGAAAGTCCTCTCCCCACATGCATGCATCTCTGTGATAACATGTGAGAGAAAGATATGAGAACATTTTATTTGACTTCAGAGTCTATGAAAAATTCTATTTATTTTTAGATGTTTTTAAACATAATCAAACTCCAATCAATGATTTATTAGATGCAATTAAAGCCCCATTTTCCCAGATAAATGCCACCTGAATAGTTTCCCATCTACCAAATTTATCACACTCACCATTAAGCAATACTAGTCTCTTGAATATCTTCATTTACAGGAGTTATATCTTTACCAAGATTTGGCATATCTTCTTTCTTTTTCCTTCGAAGGGGACTTGGAAAATGGTGTTAGAAATTAGCATGGGCCTGTTAGTTCATGCGAAGACAAAATTAATCATCAAGAAAGCCTATGATTTTATTTCTACACTTGTTAAGAGTGCATAGGTTCCGTTATTTTCCTTAAATATTTGAGGTTTTCTCTTAAATCATCTCTCTCCCTAGGCTCTGTTGATCGCTACAATAAGCAACAGTGGGATAGAGTATGGCTATAGACAGAAAGAATATGGCACCTGAGTGTTGATGCAGTTTGGTTAGCACAAGAACATTTTCTAAAACAAGTCATTTTACAAAATAGATGGATACAGCATTATTTAGTGTATATATAAGATATAATACACATTGGAAACAAATGTAAGAAAACCAAGAGCACTTTTGGAATGTTAATTAAGTTACCAGATACATTAGAAATCTGGACTGTAATCCTATTTTTTTAAAAGTATAATTCAAAATTAATGTGATAAAATAGGCCACTTCTGAGCTCTGTCCAACAGATACTCTGTCCTGAACCTGGCATTATAAAAGCTCCTTTTGCTATAAAGTAGGTAAAATAAAAAATAAAAAATAGTTTTCAATTTTATAGCTAGAAAGAATCCTACAGATTATCTGGTTTAGTCCTCTAATTTTACAGAAAATACAATTAAAGGCTTCAGATGTTATAAGAAAGTTCTCCAAAGTTTCAAAGATACTCAATGGCAGAGCTGGAACAAAAATAAAAGTCACCCTGGAGCTCTGCTTGTGTTTCTCATCCCTGATGGCTGTGAAGAAAAGGATCATGAGACGCCCTCTTCTGGTCTAGACCGCAGACCAGAAGTAATTGCAGCAGTTTAGGAGGCTGCACTAGTTTCTCAAGACAGAAAGATAGCACTGGAAGGGAAGACTTTTTAGCATACCACCTGGGAGTTCTAGTCTAACAAACCATTTGATGGGTTTCCAAAAGTAACTATCTTAAGTAATATACCAAGCCACACTCTCTCAGACAAAAGCAAGGTGTTTCTTGAGTGCCAAAGTTGTGGCATATAATGAAAAGTAAAAGAGAAGAACAAGAGTGTGATTATCTTTCATAAATTAAATTCATTATTTTGATGTGGGGAAAAATGTTTTGTTCATTTACACTGAGTGGCCAGATTATTATGACCACCCCATCAGTACTTCATTGACACTTCCAAAAAATTGAATATTGAAAACTTCCTAAGCAAATACTCTCAAGGTTTTATTATTATTATTATTATTATTTGCATAACTAATTCACTTCATTGTACTGAGGGGGTGGGTATAATAATCTGGCCGGTCATAATAACCTGGCCACTCAGTGTATTTCAATCTTTCAAAGTTAGTTTGTCATGGTGCAGTTTGAGAAAAGGAGTCTAATTTAGCCCAACAAACTCACATAAAATATGATGAACTTTAGGACTAAATAATAGTTTTCTTTAAATTAGGAAATTTATACAAATTTGATTTTAAACTATAATAATTGTGCTCGGTAAAATGACAAATAGCGTGGGTTTTGTTATAAATAGTTTAAATAAATGATGGCAAACCTGGAAAGTGATTTATTTAAATCAAAGGAAAAACAAAAAAAAAGTTAGGAAGGAGGGAAGGAAGGAAAGAATCAGGAAGATACAGTTTCTCAGATTTATTTTAAATTAAAAATACTTACTGACAGCATGTGCAGACACCAATCACCAAAATGATCAATGTCACCATAACTGCTGTCAAACAAATCACCAGAATCTGTCCTGTGTCTCCTCTCAGGTAAAAAAAGTCAACTCTCTCACATCTCGCCCCAGCATAGCCATCATCACAGCTGTTAAAACAAAACAAGAACACAAGAAGGTGAAAATGGGAGTTTTCTGAATCTCTACTATTTCTTTTATGAAGAAACAAACACTGTTTTCATTCCTTGGAATTAATATGGGACACAATTCCTTTAAAATGTTAAATAGCTGTACACCACTATGTTCATGAGCAATTTCTCTTTTCTTTGCTTTGCTGAAAATCTGTCATCAGTTGAACAATATTAACACAATGTATAACATAAATAAATAGGGATGTTGACAATTAACTAAACTTTAGTTTGGAATTTTAGATTTTGCATTTGAATAAAGAAAATGATGAAATTCCCTCCACAACATTCCCAAGCTCTTAAATACCTACATGACAACGGTTTCCCATTTCATCGCAGGGTAATAGGAACAATTTCAGTGTGCCCAGGTTCTCTTAATATAATTTATTTAAAAATTATATTGTTTCATATAATCAAAAATGGTAATGTGCATGAAAGTTCATAGAAATCTACCTACATATAGAAGTTCCATAAATATTATTCAACAGAATTCCTCTCTCTCTGTGACTTCCACCCATCAGTTCTAGTTCTATTGCTTGCATGCGTCACAGATTAGGTACTGCTCTTCTATTGCTCTTCTAGTCACCAACTATACTCCAAATAGGTCATTATCCTCTCTGGTTCCTGGTTTCTGGTTCCTTTATCTGATCTTCTAAGGCCACATTCTCAGATCTGGTCATAATTCCCTCTACTCTCTTCCAAATGGCCTCTCTTTCTCCATGGCCTAATAAAGTGCAGTGACCAGAAATCAACAAGTTTTCCCAGTGGAGTTATCACTCCCCTCATTCTCTCAGCTCTCTATCAATACAGTCCTAGGATTCACCTGACCTCAGCGGAGGCCCCAAGTCTGAGTTACAGTTAGGGGTGTATTTGACCACGCCAAGGCTTGTCTGAGCAACACTCAAGAAGCTCCAGGCTCAGTGATTTGGAGACTATTCCTGGTATTCTCTGAAGAGTGCCTGTGCTTCAAAGGTATTTAAGAAGTTTGAGGACATTTGAAACTGAAATTATATGTTGTAACATCAATTACTTTCCCCCTTTTCTCCTTAGACTCATTCAAAATGCAGAGATGTTGGTCATAATTATATACATCTGAAAAGGGGGAAATTATGCTTCTTGAAAAGACTTCTGTACAACCTCTTTTTGTTTTATTTGCTTTGCTTGATTTAGTTTTAATTTTGTAAAAAGAGATGAATTGCCAGGCTGTTCTATGATTTATGTTTGACCAAAAAGTCAAGGCAGTTAATTCCCACAAATAAGGAGATTCCCTAAATGCCAAGATTGCAGCTGATACAATGCTACAAAAATTAAACAAAACAAAACAAAAAAACAAGCTTGGCTGGAGTGGCTCAGTTGGTTGAGCATCATCCTATGCACTGAAAGGTTGCTGGTTCCATTCTTGGTCAAGGCACACACCTGGGTTGCAGGTTCCATCCTCATTTGGATGATCATAGAAAGCAACCAATGGGTTAATCTCTCTCTCTCTCTCTTTCTCTCTCTCTCTCCCCCTTCCCTCCCCTCCCCCCTTCCTCTCTGTGAGGATGTCCTCAGGTGAAGATTGAAAACAACAACACAAAAACAAGCGCAATCTCAACCCTGAGTTGAAAGGTGAGGCTCAATGCAGGCACAGGAGAAAGACAATGCCATCTACTGCACAAGGACCCCAGGACCTATGAGAGAAAACTGCTTCCTTCAAGAGAATTGGGTATCTTTGTTGCAAGGTTAAAATCATGGAAAGAAAGCTTAGAAATATCTCAAAACATCAAAAAAATCTCTTGTACATGGGCCTGGAACTGGGGGGTAAAATCACTTTTAATTGCATATGTGGGATGAAGGTTTTTAAGAGTCTTTTTTTAAAGGTCATAATTAAAATCTTACAAATATAGTCTCTTCTAATTAGCTTAAATGTTTCTCTAACAAATTCACTAAAGGTGGCATTTTTAAACAAAAACTTTGCCTGTAAAATACACAGCAATTACTTAATGCTCTTTAGAATGCTTTTCTAATTATGAACTTCAGATCCTGCGGTGTAATCACACTTTGGTTGAATTTCTCAGTGAGCAGTAGCCCTCCCTAAAAGTTATAACCCAGTGAACCATGCTAGAAGGTGAAACCTTCACCAGTGATAGTGGCTCTCATGTTATTTCACTTCTCATCAAACCAATAATAACCTACGTGCTGGTGTTCATTTTAATAGGTGAAAACGAGGCAAAGGGTACAAGATTCCAGTAGATGTTTATTAAATGCTGAATAACTAAACAAATGAGATTTAATAACCATGAAATAAAATTTTAAATAATTTTTAAAGATGCCCATGACCCTTGAGGACTCTGCAAAGTCAGATTGGGAATCACTTTTCTGGAATAATCACCAGACACAAATCTAAGAGATTTAGAAGTATTAACTCAATTGATTCTTTTTTTAAACACATTTTTTATTGATTTCAGAAGGAAGAGAGAGGGAGGGAGAGAGGCAGAAACATCAATGACGAGAGATAATCCTGGATTGGCTGCCTCTGGCATGTGCCCTGACTGGGAATCGAACCTCAATCTCCTAGTTCATAGGTCAATGCTCAACCACTGAGCCACACTGGCCGGGCTCAATTGATTCTTAAAAACAACCTTTGCAGTAGTTGTTATTATTAACCCATTTTACAGACGGAGTAACTCAGCTATAGAGAAATTGAGCGAGTGGGGCTGGGGCTCAAATGCAGGAAGTTGCCTACCAAGTTAATGCCCAACCCCATGTAATTCTGCTTAAATGAAATGTGCTGCATAAATAAATAAAAATTATGTATCTGGAAACAAATTATCTCCATTCCAAGAATCTCCAGAAGAGACTGATAGAGGGTTGAAGTTCTTTGAAGTTCTTTGAAGCACTGTGGTATTTATGTAAAAACAGGAATCCACAAACGCCTGTGAGCTCAAGCAAAAGGAGATATTTCTGGTTCCCAGAATAGCATAGGCACCAGGGGCCGGACAGTTTTGCCTGAATCCATGTAAGTTACCCAAAAGGTCAGGCCTAGGTTCAATATTTCTCACTCATCTCATGGTACAATTTATGAAACATTTACTCTGTGCTAGGTACCATAATACATATTTTTATTAAGGTTTATTTTGCTTAGTTCTCAACACTTCAGAGGGAGATATTATTATTCCATCTTACAGATGATAAAACTGAGAATTGGGAAAGATAACTGATCCATTGTTAAACTTGCTTATTATTGATGGAAACAAAATTTTAACTTAGGTCTATTTGATTCCAAAATCTGTGTCCTGCCCCATATGCTTTTCCATCTCCTATTGATTCAGTATCATTTTACCCCTAAGAAGGTGTTCCTGGTTCAGATTAAGGCCTTGGTTTGTGTTTTTTTATATGTTTTTAATATTGATTTTTTTAGAGAGAGAGGAAGGGCGAAGGATATATAGAGAGAAAGATGAATCAGCTACTTCCTGCATGCCCCCTACTGGGCATTACCCCTAAGAAGGTGTTCCTGGTTCAGATTAAGGCCTTGGTTTGTGTGTTTTTTTATATGTTTTTTAAATTGATTTTTTTAGAGAGAGAGGAAGGGCAAAGGATATATAGAGAGAGAAAGATGAATCAGCTACTTCCTGCATGCCCCCTACTGGGCATTGAAGCCACAATAAGGGCATGTACTCTGACCAGGAATTGAGTAGGTGACCTCCTGGTTGTGGGTCAATGCTCAACGACTGAGCCACATCACCCGGGCAAGGCCTTGGTTTTGACACTTAGCAGAGCATTAGATGGATTATGATAGAGGGACTCAGTCACTAATTCATCAGTCATTTCTTCAGCACCTAGTAAAATCTAGGTGTGATGCTTGGCACTGGAACACAAAAAGCAATAAGCCATGAGCCCTGCCTTCTAGGTGTTCACAGTCACAGAAGTGACATTTACAGAAACCATTTATGCTCCAGGGGGAAAGAGTTTTTATAGAAGTGGGACTAGATCCCAGAGAAAGGGCATCTAGCCAACACCTGAATGTGTCTGAGAAGAGGGAAGATAATGCAGGGGTCCAGGAAGAGCTGATGTTTGAGTTGCATGTAAAACACCAGTGAGAATGAACTTTGCAGATTCTGAGAAGAGCTTGTGTGATATACATGCAAAGGAATGCAGGATTGTAGAGGAACATTTGACTCTATCATGGAGATGTGGTTAGGAAGTTAAAGCGGGATCAGAGGAGCTTTGGAGGCTGAGGAAATGAGTGGGCAGAAGAGAGCATGCTGTGTGTTGATTGATCTTAGGGAGCAGATTACCCACTGTGGTTTTCATTTTAGAAGGCAGCAATACTACAGAGCAATAAATGTACAGACATAGAGATCAGTTAGAAAAATGTAGTGCATTAATGAGCATTAATATTTAAAAGACTCAATATATTCTCCCAAACCAATGAGCAATTAAATGGAATTGAAAAAAAAATCAGCACTTCCCCAACACACACACACACACACACACACACACACACACACACACATTTTTCTTATTCCCTTTCCCCTCTAATTATTATCCTTATATATTTATTTTTTAAATTAAATTTAAATATAATTAAATTTTGAAGAAGTCCATGACTCAAACATTTCACTAAATTAGGGATTAGAATTACTGTCCTGAGATAATGATTAAAAACAAACAAACACAAAAACTATGCTGGGGGAAATGCACAGAATATAAATATTCTATGAATTTTAGGTCAAAATTATACTTAAGAAATCACATTGCTACCCTATGAGGTAAGCTCTAAGAGCATTTTAGAGGGACATCTCTTTAGAAGAAAATGAATATTTAAATTATGCAAAAATGTTTCTTGTGCCTGAGTAAATTAAAATTTAGACTCTTAATGTACTAACAGGTGAAGATTTTTCTCCCAATTCCCTGTCCTATTAAACAAGCTTTGGAAATCTATATTTATGCATAAGATGGGTTTCTTTGCACTTAATTGACACCTGCAAAAGTAACTTTTAATTTGGCAGAAACTCTTTCATATTTAAATGAATTACAAACCACATAACTAATGCCAGAAAATGTTGTTTCCATTCAAAACACATGGGAGATAAATTGAGCTTTTAAAAGCACCCTTTAAAAAATTATCTTTATTGTTGAAAGTATTACAGATATTCCCCCCCGTTGACTGCCTCCACCCCACTTCCGGCCCCTCCCTGGGACTTTACTGCACTATTGTCTATCCATGGGTTATGCATGTATGCATATAAGTTCTTTGGTTAATTTCTTCCTGCCCTTGTGTGAGGCTCATGTGATAACCACTACACCACAGACACAAGATGGGTTAAGGGTAAGGAATTATAAGAAGTACACAGGAGGATGTCACCAAAACAGAAGCAAGTCCCATGGAGATCCCTGGATTCAAATAGTGCTAACCATTACACCATGGGGCCATAGAAGCAACCCAGGTGCCCATCAGTAGATGAGTGAGTAAAAACGCTGTGGTTCATATATACAATGGAATACTACTTGGCCATAAAAAAGAATGGAATCTTACCATTTGCAATAGTATGTATGGACCTAGAGGCCATTATGCTAAGTGAAATAAGTCAGTCAGAGGAAGACAAATACCATATGATTTCACTTGTTTTTGGAAACTAAAGAATAATACAAATGAGCAAACAAAACAGAAACAGAGTCATAGATACAGAGAACAGACGGATGGTTGCCAGAGGGAAAGGTTGGGGGGTGGAGGGGGAAGATGAAGACATTCAGAAGGACAGGTTGGTGGCTACAAAGTAGCCAGAAGGGTGTAAATCTCAGCATAGAAAATATAGTCAACAATATTGTCACAGTATGTAAGGTGCCGGTGGGTACTTGATATAGGGGGAACACTTTGTAAAGTATATGATTATATAACCACTATGCTGGATACCTCAAACTAACACATAATAAATTGAATATAAAATAAATTGAAAAATAATAATAATAAAAACTATAGTGAAAGAGAAAAAAAACATTCTCAACACTGGACAGAAACAGTCTTGCTTGTCTAAGTCAGTAGAGGACGCGGCCCTGCCTGCAAGCAAATCAGGACCCTCTGATGTGCACCAGTTTCTCCATAAGCACCTGTGGAAGGAGCCCCTGAACAAGTGGCTGGGGTGGGACCAGGGGTCTCTGTGCTGGCAGATGGCTTGATTAGCTCAGACTTGCCAGAGCTGCGGAGCTCCCGGCCAGCACCATCCCGCGCCCCTTTGCTTGCAGGCTCAGGGCGCTCCACTTACAGGCAGGAGGGTGTCTGCAGGGCCCCCACGAAGCGACATTTCCCATTGATGCAGTAATGCTCATATTTCTTGGGGCATGGAGAGAAGTAGTCATTCCACTTTGATTGTGTGGTGGTAGCTAAAAAATAAGAAAAACTTCAATAAGTCACTCACCTTAAAAACACATTTCTAAGTAGTAGTATACTCTTATCTTTACTGCCAGGTTTTCTGTAGAATATACTCCCATTTCTCTTTCCTCCTCTCTACACTGGGATAAAAGTTACACTTCTGTGGCTCCAAAATAACGCTAGAGATTGTATAATGGGAACTGTGGTGGGAACATTTCATATTTTAATTAGATTTCTGAACATTCTGCCTCTCAGAAACATTGGTGTTGTTTAAAGGGTAGAGCATAGTTGTGGTAAGAGAAAAGGTTACTCTTTTCATGAAGATTATCAGAGCCGAGGGGCTGGTGGCATTGAAGAGAGAAGTATGCTTTTCTTTTCCTTTTTAAAGTTGTTTTAATTTAAACACTTACAAAGCACTTATTGAAAACCAGATGCTGGTCTGTATACTTTGTTTTTATGAATGCATTTAATTCTCATAACATTCTTAGAAGTAAACAGCATCCTAATGTCCTATTTATTAATGAGCAAACCTCCTATTTATTAATGAGAGGCTAAGGCACCTTCCAGAATCACACAACTAGGACTAAGCAGGCCTGGGGAGAAACATGGGCCATCTTGCCCCACAGTCCATGCTCTTGACCCCTCCACTCAGCACTCCATTGAGCCAGCTGTTCACGGGTGGCTGTCATCTGCTCTGCACCTGAGGCCCCCAGAAGTCATGCTTCCCGAGTGGGAGATTCTCTCTCTCAATTGACCCCTGGAAGGATGCTCATGGCCTGAAGAAGGAGGAAGATTCTGAAAGCTTCCCATCCAGGATTTCAATCCTGCACTGCCCTGACCTTCTTGCCTCACCTTTAGGGTAGTGATTGCCTAATTATTCACCTGGGACAGTAATATGTAACCATTTTCTCATCATGGAAAGTTTCAATAAATAAACATTGTCAAGAGGAACAGTACAGAAATGCTAACTGGCTGTGTGGATTCACAGCAGACATGTGCTCACACCCAGAGAGAGCAGCTAACTAGCCAGGCCCAGCCCAGGGTCGGATTCCCATATTCATGTCATGACCAGCAGCTTGCAGGAGTCAGACACCTGTGGAGCCAGAAAGACCACAGTGTTCGCTTCTGGAGGGCCTTTCACACTAGGTTTGGTGTGGCACCTGCCACCCCAATGACATCAAACAATCCTTTTATTATTAGCAAAGACTGCTAAACTTCTTCCTTCATGTTATGTAATGAGCACATATAATTGCTCAGGGCCACCAGAGGGGAGTCGCAAAGAGCTCTGATGATCTACACACAGCAAATGCCTGCGATGCCAGGTCACAGTTTTAGTGGGTGGCAGAATGTTGCTGAGGAACTGGCTGACCTGGTTTTGTTTGGTGGCTTAATTACCTGCCATGCTCACTGCTGGTCTGTGCCAGATATTTCTGTCATGCGTGCCAATCAATGGGGTTCTTACTGAAATTTCTGCCAGAAATAAGTGCAAATTGGCTCAAAGGCAAAGATCTGTGTATTTTGGCAAATAAATTGATTAGTCAACTTCCATTCATCAAGTACTTTCTATCTCCAGAGCCTATAGTAGACATTGGAAAACATCAAAGAAATAAGGGATATCCTATCTCCCTCTCATAATAAACCAAATTTAAGACAAGAATAAGCAAACAACAAGCAAGAGCAACCATAGTAACTGCATAAACAGTTGTGGTCCACTGGAAGCAGTGGAAAGAACACTGGATAGGGAGGAAGGGACTTGGTGTTTCATTTTCAGCTCTGCCTTTCACTAGCCACATGGGTCTGGGAAAGCAAATACAGCTGCCTGAGCCTGAGCTTCCTCATCGGCAAACCGAAAATGATAACATCTACCTTGTTCAGAGGCTCAAAGAAAATACATGTGGAATTCCTAGCAGAGTGCCTGGACTATAAGGCCCTCAGTAAATGGCTCGATTGTAGAATCTTGGCAATTCTTAGAAAAATCTTGTATCAGTACAAAGGTGCTTATTTAATTAAGGGAACATTTCTGGGACATGTAGATTTTTTTATTTAGGAGGAGGTGAGTAAGCAAGTGAGGTACGGAGAATGTCAAGGTCAAAAGGTCAGGGTCAAGAATATGCAAGCTCATGCAAGGGGAAGATTTAATAGGAACCATGGAAGGGGCATGAAGGGGAGCAGACAAAGATGGCTGTGAATAGAAGTTAGAGAACTCAAATTGTCAGAAGTGTTTGCACTGAAATTTAAGGCAGGAGAGAGCTGAAGAAGGTTCTTATGCAATAAATTCAATGGTACATGTAAAAGCTAAATGGGAAGCCTTTTATAAATGTATTAGACAGGAGAGTGCAGACTGGATCTGAGTAGAAAGATACCAGTGCAAGCAGTCAACCAAGGCACAGCTGAGCCACACAGACATACGTGATGCAGGCCTGCCGCAGGTAACAGAGGGCAAGGAGAAGAATTTAAGAAGCAATAACACTTAGTGACAGATCTGCTGTGCTCCAGAAAGGTCTTTTCTACTTTGCAAAACACACCTGGCTTTAAATGTAAGCTGTATCGTCCTGTGCTCTGACCTCGACTGAGTCACTTAGTCGTTGTGCATCTTTAAACATAGTCAGAGTCTCATAAGCACCATACAGACCAGGATCCCCCAAACCTTCTTAACAGCAGCTGCTGGATGCAGTGATTTGATCAGCCTCGGTTCATCCAGCAACACGCACCTGTGCCAGGGAAATGGTTGCCAGGCCCTGTTTTCATACCTCACAGAGCTCTCTTCCTTGCCAAATAAGCTTGCTCTTAAATATTCACAGCATTATTTGGATTTAAAAACAGCTCCATGCCATCAGGCAGAAAATATTCAGTGATTTCTCTATGGAACTTTAAAACCTGGAAGAAAAATAACTCACACATACTGCTCCCCTCCCCCCTGAAGCCAGAGAGATTCTCTCTTTCTCTCTCTTGGAAATTAAAGGCTGACCAGCGTTGCCCCTTTGGAAATGCATCTACAATCCCAGTTGCTTTCATCAAAGTTCACGAAGGTCACATTTGAAAGTTGAACAATTGTGAAATCTCACATTTTCTGCCTATCATGAGACCTGATGAGATAGGTGGGGAATGGCAAAATTATACCATTCCAGTCCAGGAATGTGTCTCAAGAAGAAGAAAAAGTCAATCCTATGACAAAAGTAAAATTAGTCCCATGTACTGGGTTTCTCTTTTGAGAATTGAATGGCATGGTTTTGAACATGTCACGGGCTTAAAGCCTCCCTTGATTCTGGGTATGGAGGAATTAATTGATCTTTATTCCTCCCACTTTCCTCTTTTCCAACCCACATGCCAAAAACCAAAACATTCCTCTGGGAGTGAGTCTGTCTCACAAAATTCCACTGGAAAACTACATCCACTGGTGAGCCAGGTTGCAGCAGTCTCTTAACTGGATGGGCACAGGTAATATATCTCAATCTTTTCAGGAGACACCACATCCCTAAGATTCTAATGTCAATTAAATGAGAAATCGCAAGGGTTACTGCAGGTCAGTGTATGTCAAAATCTGATTCTAGGAGTTAGCAAAAGGGATCAGAAGTAAGAACCTCTTTCTGTGATTACATGGGCAGATAGACAAGAAGTGTATCTTCCGTGGGGGATATGGATAATTAGATGAGATGTAATGGATTCTGTTTAGCCAAACTCAAGTGTAGGAATATAGCAGACACCCAAATCACTTTGTTTAAATATGGATTTTCCCTCAATTTGATAGATGCTTTGATTAAGCAGCATTGTGCCTTGGTCTTTCTGTACATGATTCTTTCTCTCAAGCCAAAACAGGTTTTGTAATATCTTGGTGATGAAAACTCTTCAGATTTGAAACATTAGTTCTATTTTTCATAAAACCTTCACTTACTTATTCCAATAGTGCTTAGTACAAATCTAAGTAATGATTTTGTAATGATATTAATATCAGCAGCTCTTCTGAAAACAACTCTAAAAGTAAGGTAAAATTATTATTACAATGTCTTTTGTAATTGTCATTACAATGTTCATAACCTCATAGTATATGTGACCCCTATTTTGACACATAGTTAAATGTCTGTGTGGGGGACTTAAAACGGGCTGTTCAATACGGAGGTAGATGTCCTACAAGTGTTTACAAGGAGAGAGGAAGAAAAACAAATACCTAGGAATTCATCTTCCCACTCAGAGACCTGACCTCAAGATGGAAACACCCAGGGCACAGAAGAGTTTAAGGGGTCCCAGCAGAGTTTAGAGAAACGTTTCTTCTTTGTCTGTGAAGGAGAGCCCAAGGCTTCAAACTTGTGTCCTTGGCTTCCAGGCATCTTCCCAGTGGGAGTTTCATAATATTACAACTTTTTAAAGCCAAAAGGTGAGGGAGAAAGTTATATATTTTTAGTTATTTTTTCTTATCTTTGTAATGATCTCCCTGAGGAGGGGAATGTAAAATCATGATGCCCTTCAAGTGCAAAATTTGACATTTACTGTAATTGAGGAATCCCATTTGTCTTACATCCAATGCCATTTCCTAAAGTGTGAAAAAAGTTTGCTCCAAGACAAGAAGAATAGAAAATAGATCTCAGATGTGCTGTCACCCCTCCTGTGCTGCCAGAATATGCTTGTACAGAGGGCTAATCGGACCCTATAGCATGTCTTTTAACCTGAGGGCTGTGCTAACCATTCTGACCTGACAGGAGTGGGCCATCACTTAGAGCTGCCCTTTTTCTTTCTATACCTCTCAAGGAAGAAAAAACAAATCTAGTGTTGAAGTGAGAGTGTATTTGCATATATTTAAAATTATTCATAGGTGGGAGGCAAATGAAAAGAACAATGGACAGGAGAAATACTTGTATTTCTTTTTGTTTTTTGAGTGCAGACTATGGAATTCTTATGCTTATGATGCCTCCTTTGCTCATTCTCCTTTGCTGGTTCTTTCTCAGCTCTTCCATCCTCTAAATTTTGCAATGCATTGGGCTTCAATGCTCTTTCACCTTTTCTCCTTTCCTCACTTCCTCCCTCAGTGTTTCTTGGCTTGAAACACCTTTAAGCTAACAATTCCCAAATTTATGTTTCCATCCCAGATCTCTTTTCTCAATGCCAACTGCCCAACTAACATCTCCACTTGGATATCTGACTGGCATTGCAACTTAACACTTCCAAAATGGAACACCTGGTTTCCCTCTTCAAATCAGGTCTTTGCTCATGTCAGTAAATCTGTATCTACATTCTTTTTGTTATTCAGGCCAACAATTTTGGGGTTATCTTGACTTCTTTCTCTTTTACTCTACATCTAATTCATCAGAAAATTCAACTGGTTGAATTTGCAGAATTGTCCCTTTATCTCCAATAACCTGATCTAAGCCCAATGTCATCTCTAGGCTTAAAGTAGTCTCCATGGCAACCATCTGTAGGTAGTCTTCCTGTTTTTGTCCCTTTAACTGTCTAATCTGCATACACAGAAACCAGATGGATGATATTAAAACTCACTCAGAGTAAAAGTTGAAGGTTTTAACCTTCTCCACAAGACTCTATATTACACTACCCATTACTTATTTTTCCCATAACCTCTCTGATTTCATCTTTGACCATTGTGTTCATTGCTACATTCTTGGTATTTGGAACGGAGCCTACTGCATAATAGTTGCCTATAAGTATTGGTGGAATGCATAAATTCCTCACTCAAAATAGAAAGTGGTAAACTAAACATGGGATGCTTAAACTCATAAAGTCATTTAGAAGTAAGAACTGCTCCCAAAGATCATCTGATTCACTTCTTCATTTTACAGGTTAAAAACCGAGTCTTTGAAAGCTTAAGTGATTTGCCCAAGGTCACATGGTTAGTCAATAGAGACAATTTGCTCCTGTTCCTCATTAATTCCTTTCTCAAAAACTTTTGTCCTTATTTAGACTTTAAGCTATTATTTTTCAAACTTTCCTTCATTCCTATATTCAGCATTCTGATTTTCCCACATGATTTTAGCAGTTTAGCATGGTGATTAACAACACATTCTAGAGCAGTGGTTCTCAACCCTCTGGCCCTTTAAATACAGTTCCTCATGTTGTGACCCAACCATAAAATTATTTTCATTGCTACTTCATAACTGTAATGTTGCTACTGTTATGAATTGTAATGTAAATATCTGATATGCAGGATGGTCTTAGGCGACCCCTGTGAAAGGGTCGTTCGACCGACAAAGGGGTCGCAACCCACAGGTTGAGAACTGCTGTTCTAGATCTAGTCTCCCTGAATTCATGTTACATGAGGAGGAGCAAAATTTTGCTGTCCCAAAATACGGCTCTTGTGATATTGATTTTAAGCTGGTAATTAAGGGAAATACAGACTCAGGAAGAACTTTTGATCCTCCCTCTTTATCGCCTAAAAGGAATTTTGATAGAGGACGTGTTCCAGGAAGGGAGATGTATGTCATCACAGTTTAAACATAGTTTAATATGGATTAGTGAGTGATAGACAGGGAAGAGCCCAACAGGCCTGCTTGATCCAAGTCCTCTCTGTGTCCTGCTGAGAAAGATGGCCCAGCAAACATTTGTTTACTAAGCATTTGCTTTTCTATATTCATGCGAATTGCCTTCCTTCCCTTTGAAGTCCCAAACCTCAACATTTTTCTTTTCCTTAGCTCCAGAATAGCGTATAAGCCTCAATTGCCATAGCAATTAAATTTGGTTATTTTCTCCTGTTAATCTGTCTCTTGGAAATTTGGTTATTAGCCCAGACAGAAGACATTAAAAAGGTGGGAGGAAAATTAATTTTTTGACCTCTACACAGACTACTCTGCTTACTGTGTAACCTTAAACAAACTAAATATCTTCTCCATACTAAACAAAGAATTGATGAACTAAAAAGGCAACCTATAGCTGCTATGGAAAATAGTATGTAGTTTCCTCAGAAAATTAAAAATACATCAAACATATGATCCAGCAATCCAGCTTCTGGATATTAATCCAAAAGAATTAAAATCAGTATAACAAACTGATATCTGTACTCCCATATTTATGGCAGCATTATTCACGATGGTTAAGATGTAAAAACAACCTAAATATCCATGAACAGATGAATGAATGAAGAAATTGTGTTATATACATAAAATGGGATATCATTCAATATCTTATTTATTTATTTTTAAAATAAGTTTTTATTGATTTTAGAGAGAGAAAAACATTGATGTGAGAAACATTGATTAGTTGCCTCCGTAAGCACCCCAACCAGGGATCAAACCTGCAACTTGGGCATGTGCCTTGACCAGGAATCAAACCAGTAACCCTTCAGTGCAGGGGATGATGCCCAACCAACTGAGCCACACCAGGAAGGACTCAGTATTTTTTTTAAGGAAATCCTTCAATATGCAACAACATGGGTAAGCCTGGAGTACATTATGCTAAGTGAAATAAACCAGTCACGAAAGGGCAAATATTACATGATTCCACTGATGTCTGGTATCTAAATGACTAAATCTATGGAAGCAGAGACTAGAATGGTGATTTCCAGGGACTAGGGAAAGGGGGAAATAAGGAATTTGTGTCCATGGATTAAAATTTCAGTTATACAAGATGAGTCATTTCTAGATATCTGCTATACAATATTATGCCTATAGTTAACAATACTGTATTGTACATTTAAAAATTTGTAAAAGGGTAGATCTCATGTTAAATGTTCTTCCTACAATAAAAAAAATAGAAAATACATTTAGGATATGATGAAGCAGGTTGTTTAACACTGTCAATCATCAAGTTATGGAATAATCTCCCAAAGGAAATGTGAAAATGCCATCATTTAAACCATTTGAAACCTGACTGAAGAAAAGCACACACACACAGAAAGTGACCTTGTTCTTCTCCCTACATGGGTGACAGGACCACACAAGCAGGAACTAAGACACGGGTGGATTCCACAGACATTCTCCAGACCGCCCACTAGTGTGAGGAAGAAAGAAGAAGATAGGGCTGGAATTGATGACTCACATCAGGATGACGTGCTCAGCATGTTCCTGGCTCAGTTACAACTTCCTGAAGTCGCCACACTCTCAGAAGTTTCCAGGGAACAGGAGGTCCATCTCCATTCTACCCTACATTTGGAATTGGCCTGTGTTTTGTTTTGTTTTGTTTTAAATCAGAAACAACCAGTGTAGAAGACCAGACCACACAATCTATAAAGGGCAGACAGAACCTTAGACCAGGGGTCAGCAAACTATGGTCCAAGGGTTAAATCTGGCCCACAGCCTATTTCTCTAAATAAAGTTTTATTGGAACACATCCAAGGCCACTCATTTGCATAGTGTCTATGGCTGCTTCCACAGTAAAAGTGCAGAATTGAGTAGTTGCAACAATGACTCATGGTCCACAAAGCCTAAGATAATTATTATCTGGCCTTTTATAGGCTTGACCCCTGCCTTAGACTAATAATTTTAAGAGTAGTAATTCAAGCATTTTCAGGGGGAAATATGTAAAAGTTATTGCTTTCTTCACATCTTTTAAGTTGTGGAATAGGAAAAAAAATAATTTGAATAGAATATGGGAACTTTTTATGAATCTAGTCTAAGATAGCACATGCCAGAGCCTGGAGCACACATCTGTGACACTAAAGTAGTGTCATGATTAATAATGAAAGCACTAGCTCTGACTAGGTCACTCAGCTGGTTGGAGTGTCCTCCCATGCACCAAAAGGTTGTGGGTTACATTCCATGTCAGGACACCTATCTAGGTTGAGGGTTTGGTATGTGTGCGGGAGGCAACTGATCAATGTTTCTTTTACATCAATGTCTCTCAGTGGTTGGAGTGTCGTCCCGTACACCAAGAAGGTTGCAGGTTTCATTCCCTGTCAGGTCAGAGCACATACCTAGGTTGCAGGTTCAATCCCCGGTTGAGGTGGGAACAGGAGGCAACCAGTCGATGTTTCTCTCTCCCTTGCTCTCTCTAAAAATCAGTGAAAACATATCCTTGGGTGAGGATTCAAAAAAAAAAAAAAAAAAATGAAAGCACTAGGATCACAAAGGCCCGAACGTGAATCCTGGATTTACTCTTTGCCAGCTGTGTAACCTTTGCCAAATTACTTAGTATTATCCAGCTCATAGGGCTCTTGAGAGAAGTGAATGAATTACTTTAGGTAAAGCACTTAGCACAGTACCTGCTATATTAGTATGTGCTAAAAAAAACAACAACAACTACCTAGTTTATGATTACTATGTAATCAGCAGTACCTGCTATATTAGTATGTGCTAAAAAAAACAACTACCTAGTTTTATGATTACTATGTAATCAAAAAACTAAACTTAACAAGATTGAAGATGAAGATGATGAAATACAAATGCATTGCTGGTTAAGTATTACCTGCACAGTCTTCTCTGGCATCTCCACAGAGAAGGCCATCATTCTCAGGACTTCTGGTTGAGTTCCCATCTGCCACAACACAGTGGAGGATCACTAGACCTTCAAGTTCAAAACAGAACCAAAACAAACATGAAGACTTGAATATTTCCTCAATGTGAAATACTCTATCAAAATTATGACCCATTTATAAAAATAACAAGCCTGTGGCTTCCATTTCTAATTCATTATCCCACAGGGAGGGATGTGTACCCAAGTCAGCATGTCTCATTCTTTTAAGCTCAGTGCAGAAGACAGAATTTTCAAGCCAGCATAACTATGCACCTTAAGTAAGGAAACTTGACCATAATTTGTGATAGAAACTTATCATATAAATGGAAAATAGAGTTCTTAGCCACTGGATGAATTAATAAATGGGTTTCCAGGGAGAATGGGTGATGAACCATATGGCAATGTACTTTCTCCATTCCACACAGACCAAATGTTTCTCAAGTATTAACTATTGAGTTCCTTCCTCTTGGAAAGATGTGACCTAGACATGCAATTTATAGGAATTATTTTAAAACTTTGTTTACATAAAACAAATTGATAATTGTTGAAACTGAGTGGTGGGTATATCAAGAGTCACTATGCTGTTCTCTCTACTTTTATATATATATTTGAAAATGTCTAAAATAAGAACTTGAGCGGGCTTTCAGTAAAGGTGGCAGTGTAGATAAACATGGTACTTGCATCCTCCCACAATCACATCAAAAATACAACTAAACTACAAAACAACAATCATTCAGAACCACCTAAAATCTAGTTGAACGGAAGTCCTATAACTAAGGATACAAAGAAGCCATATTAAGAATGGTAGGAAGAAAAAAAATGAATTGTAGGGGGGCCAGGGCATAAAATGAGCTAGTCCCACTCACACATGTGGTGGATAAAAATTGAGAAGGATATCTCAGCTGTGGCGTTACCCCCTGAGGAGCGAGGGATCCCAGCTGCACAACCAGGTCCCAGCCCAGGGTTCCAGTGCTGGGAAAAGAAGTGCCAGTAACTTCTGGCTGTAAAAAACAGCAGGGATAGTGGCTGAGTGAGAAGGCATTCCTCTGAAAGGGCCCACCCATGAACTTACTCAGACTTACTCACTCTGAGCTGCAGGTACAGCAACTTGAAAGGAACCAGGGACATACTGTGATGAAATGAATTGTCTGGCATCTAGGTGTTGACAAAGGTCATTGCTCTTTTTTTGAGACACTCCCCACAGAGCCAGAAGGTAGGTGCCATATCTGAGTCTCCATCAACCTGACTATCACTATTCACCCGCCATTGTAATTCCAAGACCCTGTCCCACCAACTGGCACACCCAAGCTGATTCCAGTGGTTTTTCCATATAAATGGCCTGTCTTGGCTCATTCTTAGGACTCTTGAGAGATTTTTAAATCTCTCACACAAGCAGCAGCATCTGATCTCAGCACGCTCTGTACTCTCTGTAAGTAGCCTCAGGCCTGGCACTAGCAGCAGCCAGCCTTAGTTCTCAGGTTAGCCTTTCCTGAGCACCTCCAAGCCCAGCACAAATAACAGCCATCTGCATATTGCTCAGTAGCTTGTGCCAGGTGGCCCCAGGCAGGACAGATGGTTGCTGACCTTGGCCTACACCTCCTGGAAGGCCCTGGAGCCAGCACACCCAGTGGACAGCTTCAGACCACATCAAAGCACCACTATCCAACCAGCTCCACAAGCGACATACTCAAGGAGTACACTCAGCATGCACCAGACCCCTGCTGAAGTAAGTTCTGCTCCATGGGGTGGGCCCCTGCACAGCTGATCCTCCACGCTGGTCATAGCCAGTCCTTGCAGCTGATTGGCCTAGGGATAAATCCATCCCATTTATGTACCAACAGCAATCAAGGCTCAACTATAACAGGTGGGTGTACATAGACACACCTCAAGTACCCAGTTCTGGTGAATAGTGGAGGGTAGTGATGGAGCATCTAGGACAATTTCAAGTGTATCAACATTTACATCATGGGGCTGCAGGAAAGACAAGAGAGAGCAAGAAATTGATAACATATTTAATAAAATAATGAAGGAAAACTTCCCTAACTTGGTGAAGGAAATAGACCTACAAGTCCAGGAAACACAGAGAGTCTCAACAAGATGAACCAAAAGATACCCACACCAAGATATATCATAATTAAAATGTAAAACATTAAAGACAAAGAGAGGATCTTAAAAGCAGCAATAGAAAAGCAGTTAGTTACCTATAAGGGAGCTCCTATAAGAATGTCAGCTGATTTCTTAACAGAAACATTGCAGGTCAGAAAGGACTGGCAAAAAACATTAAAAGTTATAAAAAGCAAGGACCTACAGCCAAGATTGTTCTCCCCAGCAAAGCAATCATTTAGGACATATAAAGAGATTCCAAGATATAAAGAAGCTGAATGAGTTCATCACCACCAAACCAGTATTACATGCAGTGTTAAAGGGTCTTCTTTAAGAAGAAGAAAAGAAAAGAAATATATAAAAATATGAACAATAAAATGTCAATAAATACATATCTATCAACAATTGAGTCTAAAAAAGCAAAATAAACAAACAAGAAGAACAGAAACAGACTCATAGATACAAAGAACATTTTTATATTTTCCAGATGTGAGGGGGATTGGGGGGTTGAATGAAAAAGGTGGAAGGGATTAAGAAGCACAAATTGGTAGTAACAGAAAGTCATGAGGATATAAAATATAGCATAGGGCATATAGTCAATAATATTCTAACAAATATGTATGATGCCAGATGGGTACGAGATTTATCAGGATAATGAATTAGTAAGATACATAATGTCTAATCACTAGGGTATATACCTGAAATGAATATAATATTGTATGTCCACTGTAGTTAACAATTCATATCAAACCTGGATTTTTCTGCTTCCACTGAAAAAGCAGAAAGTCTGGCAACATAGCTCTGAAACTCCTTCATGGCAAAACTGGCTGGAGCTAAGTAGTAGGTGACACCTTTAAATGCCACAGACTCCATCAGGATTTCCACACTCGTTTATTTGAACTGCCTAGACCTGGACAGGAATTTCAGCTTGTAAACTGTATGAAATGACTCAGAAATTAGATAAATGCTCACAAAAACATCTAATCAATCCTGAAGGCTGCTTCAAAGAGGGTACTCCTGTTCCATCAAAAATTCAATACATATATTAAGCACTATGTGTTTGGCACAGCTGCAAGACACTGAAGGTTTAAAGATAACAAATTATCACTAACCTCAAGGAGCTCACATTCTGATAATGAAGAAAGACACACAAATCTTTAAAGTGTAATAAGCACAACAGCAGAGGTAATAGAGGAATAACACAGGATGGAGAATAACCTCTGCCCAGCAGCAAAGACTTCACAGAGAGGGTGAGGATTTATGGTGAGTTTTTCATGAGGGAATAACTATTTTTTAGCATCAGTTAATAACTTCTATAAAATAAAAATTGTGTAAGCAAGATAACATAATTATAGTATAGTTATCTGTCTCAATAGTGGATAATCTTCACATGGCAATAATAATGTAAATACTGATAACTTAACAAAAAATTGTCATAAAATCAGGGCCAGTAACTTGCCCACATACACCATTGTGAGAAAACTCGTTGTGATTAATCAGTGTCTATGCTGTGCCAATTCTTAAATGTTTTGATTACCACCCCATTAGTAACTATACTGGAAGTATGCGAGAAGAGAAACCTAACAGGTAAAGTCTAAACTAGACAAATCAAGAAATAGCATTACAAGTAAATTATTTAGCAAGACATAGGTGAACATAGAAGAAATACCTAAAAGAGTTGAAAATGGCTGCTTCTCAGGTGGAGAGGCAGGAAGGCATGGTACAACGATCTGCTGTTGCTGCTATACACTTCTCAGCACTATATAATTTTTTAAAATCCATGTATATTTATTACACTATTAAAAATAAAGTGAATTTTTAAGAAAGGAATAAAATTATAATTAGCTAGGAGATAGATGATAGATAGATAGATAGATAGATAGATGATAGATAGATTTCAGAGAGGAAGGGAGAGGGGGAGATAGATAGAAACATCAATGATGAGAGAGAATCATTGATCAGCTGCCTCCTGTACACCCCCTACTGGGCATGTGCCCTGACCAGGAATTGAATCATGACCTCCTGGTTCGTAGGTAAATGCTCAACCACTGAGCAATGCCAGCCGGGCCGTACATTCTAACCAAAAGGTACAATTTGTAAAAAGTCTTGGCAAAAATAATACGACATATCCAGCTTGTCTGGAGGGTGGGTGGGGATTGTGATTGAACAGGAGGCTGGAGAGCAAGGAGGAAGCACATGGCCTAAGAGTCAAGTTAATTAGTGTGAATTGTTATGTAGCTAAAATGGGTCGTTGAACATATTGAAAATCTTTTCTTTTTTTTAGTTTGAAAAGGTTACTTTAATGATACAGGTGAATCAGACACACCTAACTCAAAGTGGTGTCACTGGGTATGGAGAAGAAGAAATGATTATGAGAGATATTCACAAATTAAATGATAAAGGATTTGGTGACTAATAGGATAGGGTGGGAACTGACAAAAAGGGAGCCAGAGTTTGTGGCTTGAGTGACTGTCTGGATTGTCACAGATATAAGGAATGCAAAGAAGACAAACAGGTTGAGGATATAACTGATTTGAAATATAAATCCCATTGTTGATGGTGTTAGGAGGTGATTAGGTCATGAGGATAGAGCCTTCATGAATGGGATCAGTGCCCTTATAATAGAGACTCTTTGCTGCTTTGGCCATATGAGCACAGAGAGAAGATATCTGTCTATAAATAAAAAAGCAGGCCCTCTCCCTACCCTGAATCTGCTAGTGCCTCCATTTTGAAATTTGTAACCTCCAGAACCATGAGAAATGTTTGTTGCTTACCCAGTCTATGGTATCTTAAATAATAAAAGCCTAATATGCTAAGTGTCCGGTCATCCGTTCAACCAATCAAAACGTAATATGCTAATGATATACTAAGGCCGCTCAACCGCTTGCTATGATATGCACTGACCACAAGGGGGCAGACACTCCAACTGGTAGGTTAGCTTTTGCTGG